AAACTGTGCGGGATTCGAAGCCACCTAAATTAGCAGTGCAAACCGAAAGCATGCACACCGTTCCTCCGCCCAAGGACCCAAGGATTTCAGCCCCTTTCAATCCTATCTTTGATAACTCCCAAACGGATGCACTGTCCTCAACATTCACCCACGCCTCAGACTGGGACGCTAGTCAATCCCAGCAACCAACTGTCACTCCCTACAGTTCCTTTGCAGACTCGTTTGAACGACCACTATTTAATCATGAAGACGTTTCCACGCCACGCCAACGTCCGATTTTATCGCCTGAAATTTCTATTGTCTCTTCTCTTGAAACGACACTAGCAGGTCCAAATATCAGTCTACCAGCTTCCCGAAGCCCGTTGTCCAATCAGCTTTACTCAGAAAATATCACAGGTGCTGAGCTAGTTGGGCAAGCTCCAATTGTTGAATCAACTGTTGACAAGTTTGTCAATGGGGTGGGGTATAACGGTGATCATTTGCTACATGAGTCCTGTGACCGGCACTATATGCCTGAACAGCGTACCAACAACGGTGAAAGTTTGTTGTCTCCGACTAGCGCAGACCTTGACAAACATAGACCTCCTAAAAATGTGTTCCGGGCTGAAGAAGACTATGAACAAGAACAGTTGTATGGAGATACCTCACGGACCCATGTTATGGCCCCCCCTACTACTGAGGAGAAGAGAGAGATAGATGGGACGGAGGTGGAGCATGCGGGGCTGCATCCGCTTCCACAAACGTCACAAAAGTTCCCCCAACATGTGTACGAGGCTGACCAGGAGATGACTGACATCGACGCTGACAGCCAAAAGGAGAACGACATAAATAGTGAAGGTGCACTGCATGAAGTGCCCGCGAGATCCTCTAAGGAGGATATGGTAGGAGCTCAGGAGGAATTCTACGAGTGGACTGGAGGAATACCGAACGAAGATCTAGAAGAAGAATTGGAGGAGTTGGAAGAAGAACTGGAAGAACGGTTGGAGGAAGAGGAATATGAAAAGGAACTGGAAGAGGACAGGGAACTGAACTCTGACGATGACATGGAACATATCGCTTCCGAAGCCTCGTCGCAATACGACTCCGAAAGCCTATCGGATGAAAGCTCGGAGTTTGAATCTGAGGAAGACGCTCTTCCACCGAGAGCCGTTTATCTTTCTGCACCCCGTCCTCCACCCGAAATAATCGTTTTGGATAGCGACGAGGAAGATGAGGCTGGTTCTTACAGTCCTATGGCTCCACCGTATGAGGAATTTCTTGGTTCTGATATTTCACAAGCACCAGGCACCAGTGAAACGACAGTTTTGCACCCTCAAACCGTTACCACTTCTAGTTTTGGACCCCCAGTGAAGTTGAATGGGACATCCCAGCTTGAAATGTCTGCTGATGGGCCAGAAACCGGTGTTCTTGTTGAAGAGGAGTTAAACTTATCATTGCAAGCTGCTTCTTTTGCTGATGTTGAGCCTACGTCGAGACTCAATGAGCCTTTGCAGCAAGTTATGATGGGCGAAATGGCGGAAGCTGCGCTTCATATGGATAAGGAGTCGGTGTCAGCCGATGGAGCGGACGAAGACACCTTCCATCGAAAATCAGCAGACCTAGATGTCTACAGTGACGCAAGCCCATCGTTTTCGGCAGAGTTGGTGTCTGGCAGTGAAAGGGAGTCAAGGCACGAATCGCCTAATCAAGTCGCCATTGAACCTCAATTATACCGATCCAGAGGACGGAAAAGTTCAGAAATGGAGTCCGAGTCTCAAAATTATGTTGAGCCCGGGATTTCGCGCGACGGTGCAGTTGATGTAGATAGCTGGCATGAGCCCAAGATTTTGGAGTCGACAGATTCGAAAGGTCGACTTCTCACGGCCGTGGAAACCCAGAAATGTGCAGAAATCCAACCTTCGCCTCCACCATCGGAAACCATCTTAACGGATGATGATCTTGTCGCATCCCAACTTTTCCGCGATATGGAAGAGCAAGAGCGTAGAAAGAATGGCCAGGCGCCCGACCGACTTAATATTTTTGGGGATCCCGCTAAGGGTGAAACTTTTGAGATATCTTTGCTCACTCCCCTTCCTACCAACAACGGAGAGACACCCAATGAGGCTGTAACAATTCAAACTCCTTCTGCCGAGTCACCTACTATTCTCCAGCCAAATACCAATGCCACCGGACTCCGCACCCGCCTTTCCTATTTCTCACCACTATCCACCCTCGCTGATAACTTCAACAATATGACAGACACAATATCTGTAGTTATCTCCTGTTCACAAATAGGCCAATCCACTAAGGGCCCCCGTGAATACTATACAACATTGCATCTCACCGATCCATCTATGGCCGGCATGACTGTATGCGCTCAAATCTTTCGAAGAACCAAATCTCCCCTTCCCGCCGTAGCGAAAGGAGACGTAATCCTGCTCCGCGATTTCAAAGTTCAAACCATAGATCATAGCATGATGCTCCTGAGCATGGCAGCTAGCTCGTGGGCTGTCTTCCCGGCAGGGAGCGATACTGACGTGGAAATGAATGGGTCGCCTGTTGAGTATGGTGCAGAGGAGATACGATTTGTCTCTACTCTTCGCGAGTGGTTTCTGGTGGAGGGCGAGGAGCTGGCAGTGAAGCATGAATATTTGACAACGGCACGTGGGAGCACTGACGCAGGTAGTTCTGTCTCCAGCATGGGGAGCGGTAGCCCCAGTGGAAGTAGGGGCAGCATATTCAAGAAATTTGCTCGTCAGAAGAAACCCAGGCACCGTCGGATTGCCATCCATGAATTACGAGACGGTACGCGCTATCCAGAGGTTGGTTCGCCGGCTGATGAGGTTGTTCATGAGTTGAGGGATGGGACTGTTTATTCTAATTTGTAATGATGGCGTTCTTCCCGTGTATGTGTATTTTCTTTGGTCACTCAATTTTCCCTTCTATCCTTAGGACTCCGCAGAATGGACGGCGACAAGTCCCCCCTTTCTTTTTTGGACAACTTGACAGACTTTTCCTGTCGTTTGCATTATAAGTGGGATGCCATTATATTGGATCTGTAACTGGTGTACGCTGGATAACTACCTGCTGGAATATAAAATGGACCATTGTATACTTCCAGAAATATCTTTTTAAAATTGTATTTTCTATAATCTCCTTTCCTATCATAGAGTCCCTCTTATTGATGCCGCGTTTCAATCCTTATGCCATAAAGTCACATGACCATGTACCTCACTCTCCCCTAACCCTAAAGCGGCTACTCCACTTTGGGTTCTTCAAAACCCTAAAAATTTTTTCTATCTTTTTTCTTTTCCCAACAGCAAGACCACCAACTCAAATCATCACCAGTTTGCAACTCCTATAACCCTCCCACAAGGTTCTTTTCTACTGCTCTGGCGATTCCGATGAGTGTGTCAAGATCGATATAACCGCCCACTTCTAAAACCATCATCACGAGGGCCCCGCAAGGAGTTGCCATGATATGGTGATGACCTGATAGATGGGACAATATTTCGTAACTTGTTGGGCTTTGTTTCTTTCATTTCCATTTTTACGGGATTGGTCGGTGGATCAACGGATTGATTCCTGCGCCGAAATGATGGAGTGTTGAACCAAATCTACCTCATCCACAAGCTGGTCCATCACCATTGCGAGAGGTTCAAATTTCCTGATAGTGAGTCCTCTGAATATATATTCATTTTCCCTCATTCTTCCATGAATCACCCGGGGAGCGGTTTCCGTGCAGATACAGGAATGAAGATACTTGACAGCTCTGGTAATCCGAGGTGCTCAACCGCGCACAGCTACATTCGGGCCACATTCTGTGTTTTATCAGGCATTGTGCTTCCGAGCCGCCGGTAGAGCTTGAGGCAACACGGCAAAGTCTGACTTGATTCGTTGGAGATGTAATAATGATTAAATCTCCGGTTGATGGAAGGAAGGGACGTGATTCTTTCGATTACGTCGAGGCTAATCTCTTGTTGCTCATGAACAGTGCTGCTTGTCCGTTTACATCGTTCCTGTTAAGGCTACATACGGTTATGAAGAAAGCTCCTCATCTGGAAATCCCAGATGCTTTTGGAGCATGGAAATTAAGCCGCTTACTTGCAGATTGGACATGGGATTGGCTCCTGGTAATTGATATAGAGCACTCCGTAGACCCTATTTGAAAGTTATCTTCATTGTGTATAAATACGGTGTTGTATTGAAATAATCATTCCTCATGTGCAATCTCTTCCATGTTTGTATCTTTCCAAAGTGTTTTCAATATCCAGGTCCAAATTTGTGTGCGAGGCGTGGCAACTAACAATTCCTCCATTTCAGAGATGTCAGTGTAACTAACAACTCCGTAGTTGCTTGCTAAGAAATAGCAACATGCTTCCAAGATGCATCGTTAACAAACGGCTCCTCCAATCTTGCAATCGCATCACCCAGAAATAGAGTCTCTCAAGATGCATAAACTGAAGACGCCACCCGACAACGACATTCTATAGGTTCAAAGATTAATGGGCATGCCATCCCCGAAAACTCGATCATCCGGGCAGTTGTTGCGACGTGCACCTTTAGAATGGCTCGCACTATTCGCGTTATTACCTCCGCCACGGAGCATATTTTCGTTGTGGGAATTCATCCGCCTCTCCTGTAGATAGGATCCTACGAACTGCGCCTTTAATAGGTATGTATTCCCCATGAATTCTCATAAATTCTCCGGAGAGAAGGTGGGCATGGATATACTCCATTAGAACAACAGGCAAAATTAATGATCCTATGAACAGGTGGACACAACGATTTTCCTTTTTCAATACGGTCCTTTTTTTAAAAAATAAATAAATAAATAAGTAAATAAATAACTTGAGTAAAATAAAATAAAAATGATAGTTATGTATCAGAAATTTTTCTCAGATGAGGTAACTCTCCCAGGACAGGTGGATTCCCTGCGCCTGGGAAAAGGCGGGCTACGAGACCAGTTCTAGAGTGCATATGTCGGCTGGTTAGCAATGCATGTAACAAACGATTGAGTTATGTATTCCGCTAACCTATGTCGCAGTCCCCAAAGTCTCCGGCAATTTCTCAGATTAAGTCCACCAAGGAGTCGTCAACGGACACTTTCCAGCAAATACCAGCAAATAGACCTGGTCCACCGTATTGCAAAACAATGCCCCCAACTCCTAAAGCTCTCCTCCCCCGACGATGTCTGGGCTAACTTCGCCATATCGAGTCTCATCGACGTTGACGGTATGCATCAAATCGGTAACAGCGCCAGTATCCTACACATGCATTACGATCTAGCGGTGCGCTACGTAACCCTTACCCACAGCTGTCATAACAGATAGTTATGCCGACAGCGCAACCTCCAAAGTATCCAGTTAATAACGACCTTTCGCCAGCGGGTCAGGCCATTGTCCGTGTGAAAATGAACGGACTAGGCATGAGATAGTTGACCTGGCGCATGTGAGCAATGACCCAATGCGAGATGCGCTGCTGATTTCTCCCGCGCTAGTGATATTCTCTCACTCGTCTGTATATGCGCTGTGTGTGCATCCGCAGAATGCGCCGGATAATTTTCCTGCAGCTGAAGCGCAACGGAGGGGCGATCACCGTTACTTCTTTCCCCGCGTATACAAAATGTGATGGTAGGCATGATGCGTCGTTGTCGGATATGACAGATCATGTTCAACATGTGGGGAATTTGATCGGTATGAACACATAGGGCTTGGTGCGGACTTTGATCGGATGCCTAATTCTGTAGAAGGTTCGGAGGATATTTCAAAGTAGCCAGGTCTCATCGCTGAACTGCTATGACGTGGGGTGTCTGAGAAGGATTTGGTAGGGCTGGCTGGCGCGAACCTACCAACAGTGCTGAAGGCGGTAGAGGAGAGGATGAAACGGAGCTGCTGAGAGATGTTTGTCCTCTGCAAGATCGGTTTAAGGAGATGTCTTAGCAAGATTCTCACTGAACTTTTCACGTTCTCCGCGCTGGGTTGCGGAGAATGGGGTATTCTTTCTGATACGAGATCCCCTTTTTAACCGTGGACACCAAGTGAAAGGAATGATTGGGTCTCTTCTCATCCTTCTACTTCATTTTGCTTCCCTGTTCGATTTTGTTTTCTTTCTCTTTTATTTCCGGTTGCGAGTCATCTAAGTCTCTGTGGTCCCTCTATATCAACTGGCCTTTAAAATATTTCGATTTGGATTGACTGATACAAGTTGATCGTGGAACATCTTGTTCTAAGTCACAATCTTTTCATCCAGAGTCTCGAGCGGGCAGGTATATTTTTCCATTCATAGGACTTCTTTCTGGCTATTCTACTATTGTTCCATTCATCTGCCACAGTCCCTGACTCTGTTGGTTTCCATATTGGGCATACTTCACATTTGGAGAGCCCCGCAGTCTAACATCTAACATAAAGCAAAACGCAATGTATGAACACGACAGCTTCAGACTGCAAATCTAGAGCTTAACCTCTCCGGCCTTCAATGTCTCCCACTGGTCTATCTCGAAGGGGAGATACCTTTCCTCACCAGCTGGGAGCCAGTAAAAACTGCCGCCCGTGCCGTTCTCCTTTATCTTGTCCAGGTTAACTCCCTCTGATCTCAACTTTACCTTCTGTAGCTTCATCGTCCCCGTCGTCTCAAGGCTAGACACAACACGCAGGAAAATCGGCACAGCATATCGAGGCAACACTCCAGTTACGTACTTGGCTAGTCTAGCAATGTCGAACGAACCAAGCGTCACGCCCTCCGCCAACACGATGGCTGCGCATCCAGCTCTCCCGTCTGCATGGGGAACCTCAACACCATAGACGTTCACTTCAGCAATCTGATCGAATTTCCCCAGGACATCGCTGACTTCGTTTGTGCTCACGTTTTCGCTCTTCCACCGGAACGTATCACCTAGACGGTCGACGAAGTAGAGGCAACCGTTCGGGTCTAAGCGCATCATATCCCCTGACCTAAACCACATGTCTCCCTTTCGAAACACATCTCGTATTCTCCGCTTCTCGGTCGCTGCATCGTCTTTGAAGTATCCCGCAAACACTGCATTGGGTGCTGCGGGGTCCATTCTGAAGAGGGCCTCGCCCTCCTCGCCGGCTTTGCATATAATTGGGAGCCCTTTCTTATCTAGCTGGATTTCCCCCGTTACAACGTCTATTTTCACCCGCTTTTCATTATCTCCATTCATCCAATGCCAGAGCAAGCCCCGCACTCCAATCGCACCGCGCCCTAAATCTCCTCTGTTGGCATTGAAGGTTGACGATATCCCGTCACTGGCTGCATATAGTTCGTTGATCGTTTCGATGCCAAAGCGCTGACGGAAAACTTCCCAAACATCCGGGCGCATGCCATTCCCCCAGGCCATTGTTGCATTATGCTTCCTGTCCAGCGGAGATGGAGGTGCGTTTATCAGATACCGGCACAGCTCTCCAACATACTGTACAATATCGGCCTTCGACTCGCAAACTTCGGGCCAGAAAGTCTTGTGGCTAAACTTGCGACCGAGAACCACGGTTGATCCAGCATACAGTGATGGGTTGAGACAAAGTCCGTGTGCTGTGCCGTGATAGAGCGGTAGACACGTATACATTTTCGTTCCTGGCTTGAGATTTAGGTATTTGCTAACTGATCGAGCAGTGATTAGTTCCTTCTTTCGAAAAAATTTTGTGGCCTTGGGTAAACCGGTCGTTCCTAAGCATCAAGGAAAGTTTAGCAATCCTACAAAAAGAATTTCTATGGAGGCCATCCGTGTCAGGTTCATACCGGATGTATATATCAACAACGCTAGATCATCCATTTGAATCCCTGCTCGCCTTTCCTGTGGGATAGGTGTTGTATCTTTGAGTGAGGAAATAAATTCCGTGTCATAATATATCGTCTGTGCATTTGCCTGGCTAAGCTCCTCCTCGCAAGGTTTTACCAAATCCTCTGTCCCTCGATCCGCCAGCAAGAACCTCGCCTCACACAACTTTACGCAATGCACCAGTGGTGCTGCCGTAAGGTTACAATTGATGAACGACGGACACGCAGCTATAGACTCCAGTCCGTACCACAACATGAGATATTCAGGTGAGTTCCCGCCGTCCAGTGCAACTAACTCGCCCCGTTCTATGCCCAGATCGTTCATTAGCCAGTTCCCGACCCGATGAACGTCCTCAAGAAACTGTTTGAAGGTCCATGAGCGGCCCTCAAATATAAGAAACACATTATCACTGTTCGCTCCATGCGCATGATCCTCCAGGAGATGGTACATGAGAGTTTTGTCCTGTTGCCACCGCTCTGTGGCAGCTTGGATAGCATCCTGTGCTGTGACAGCAGCCGATCCGCGGGCGAGGTCATGGCGGATTAGATGTTTAGCGTCCAGATAAGCAGCTGCCGCCAGCGTACCGGCCACTGATGCGGCGAGTGTGACTAGGTTGAAAATATGATATTAGCACAGAGTGGGAATGGGATATGGGGAGGGCCGCTTTCGCAGTTAGCTTACGTGACATGATGCGAAATCTAGATGTGGGTTTCGGCACTGGTGCTGAAGACGGAGAAACAGAAAATTTCAAAGAAGCAATACTCAGAAATCCAAATTGGAAGAAAAGATATAAATACCCATTACCCAGCTGGATCCAAACGTGTTCTTCTACTTTCTCCGGAAGCTTGTTGGATGGCTATAAGCCGCTTCGGCCTTGCCAAACCAAGATAGATATGTTGCATTCCCGCTTCAAACAATTCACCGGCTACCTTCCCAGTCTATATGGAGTACGTTTCGCCGCACCTCGGTCTGGCAATTGATACTACAATCACCATTTGCTAAACGGTGCAGCGCTTCCCCAATGAAAGCTGCTAAGCTTCGCTCTGCGAACGTAACTATCTAGGTCTCCGACCACATAGCCATTTTAACCGAGGCAAAAACTTCCAACGATCAGCCTTGTCAAGCGCTATAGAAAGAAACCCTAGCGACACAAAGGGAGAAACACAAAAACAGAGTATAACCGATCTCCAATGTTTCCCGGATTCTCGTCCCCCGCATTGGTTTCCCCGTTCATCCTGGAATTGAGCGTGCGGAGCAATTCATTCTAGTGTCTGGGTAACTAACTTTAGTGGGGTAAAATCCAAGAAAGTTGAGAATGAGAAGATTAAACAACTGACTTCCTTCAATTGAGACAAAACTATCCTCAAACTAACCTTGAACTGTGGTGCTCATATTCCATTTGCTCTGTTGTCATCTTATCCAGGACTCACTACTTACACAGCTTTGATACTGTGGCCTCAAAAATAAACACAGTCTTCCACTTAAATTCATTAAAATGCAAGAGAAAACAGAAAACACAACTGTGCTCTGAGTGTTAATCAATTATTAATATGGAAGTCCCTAGCTGACAAATCCAACTTGATTTGATTCCAAAGAGTTGAGAATTGTGAAGTTTATGTCTGCCTGCTGCTGCAGAATTATCTAGTATAGGGAGCAGGGTTTGAGAAATCCAAATGAGTCAATGATGGGGTTTATATAAATGCATCACCTCTCCATCTGTTTCAGTTGGAAGCTGTAAACCAGTACAATTCTACTCACATCACGTCCACCTTTACGAACCCAATATTTACCCTCAGTCCTCCATCATGACCAATCCCAAGTTCTGGTACTCGCCGTCTTCATGTTCTCTAGCCCCACACATCCTCCTTCGCGAACTGGGCTTGGAGGCAGAAACCATCCAAATAACGGATTTTGTCCCGCGAAGCCTTTGGCTCGATCAATCCCAAGCTCCTTGCCCCCGTCCTCTATGTCGACCGCGAAATCATAACGGAGGTATCCGCTATTATAACCATGTCTTCCCATCTCTCTCCTGAACGAAATGTGTTGGGAAAAACACCCATGGAAATTGTCAAAGCATACGAGTGGATGAATTGGCTCACTTCCCAGCTGAACGCTGGGTTATTTGGAATGCTTTTCGGACCTGCCCGCTTTACCGATGATCTTGACGGGGTAGATGGAATTAAAATGAGCGCGACGCAGAGGGTACAAGATGAAGAGGGTACAAGATGACTTTGCGCTTCTTGAAAGCAAGTTAAAAGGGCTATACTCGGTTGGAGATTCGTTTACGGCTGTGGATTTGTATATGCTTGTTTTTATCGGTGGAGCAGATTTGTTGGAATCGACATGGAAAAAGGTTATCCGAAATATACCGCTGCGATTGAGAATGTGGCGACCAGAGATTCTGTTGTTAAAACACTGAAGGAGCTCGACTTGTCTCAGGTGTTTGAAAAAAAGGTTTGACAAAAGGTTTTATACTGAGAGGCAATATGAGGATTTTAGAAGAAAGGATGCATGGAAGTAATTTATTTGCTACTCTGAGGTAGGATCTCACTGATTTTGTTTCAAGAGTATCCAGACAAATGAGAGTCAAAATATAAATAGAATGTTCCAACCGTTTAGCGGCAAGGAATGGCGACGTCAATCAAGGAAACAACATAAATTAGGTTTATGCTTACCAGTTCATAGGATGAAAATTTGTATTTCCATATGTGTTTTGGTTGATTCCTGGGAAGTTTAGCTTGCCGCAGACGATATTCGAAGGGAACTTTCCATCTTCATGGGCAGCCCAGCATCCGTATATGCGAGTCGAAACCAAGTGTGTCAGTTTTCTAAAGTATCACGAGTCACCAAACCCTTGGAGAGGGATTCCTAGCTGTGTCACCCCGGGCCTTTCCCGTGACGAGCTCCTGCCTATTAACCACCAGAGCATCTAATGCAGTATATCGTAATGACTTAAGCAAAAGTCCTGTTTGATTGTCTAGTTCATTGTCACCCATCTGTTGTTGACGAGGATAGTACGGCGTCTCGTATGCGACATATTCATTGACCATCGCCAAAATTATGTGCACCGAAAAGGATGTTTGACCTATGGCGAATTCGCACCCTCATGGGCATGTCAATGTCCGGTGAATGACGCTCAAACATTCTCTGCATATCAGGTAAGTCCATGGACGAATGATCCAGGGAAAATTCATAGATAAATATAGTTCATAACAGGGTCGACCAAATAGTCTGCTGAAAAAATCCTAAGCATTGACCCATATGACAGGGACAGGAAGTAATTCTTGGAAGTTCATATAGCACCGGATTAGAGCCCCTGGTTCGCCACAGATCCATAAAATTTCACAAACATGAGAGGGGTCCGCATGTTGAAAACCATGTGGGGACAAAATTGCAATCGACTGACTAAACTGATCTTTGGGCATATGGGAAAATTGAAAAAAACAGAGAGATATCATGCTCGTAATCCGCAGCAGCATCTCTAAACATATGTCTAGAAAAGGCTCAAACTCCAGATCGAATTTTGGAAATCTTATAGGCGTACAGCATAACTGCAAGAGATATCACAATACAGCAACCCGAAGCTATTGTCATACATTCAACTTAGACCACATGGGTATGAGGTCATTCGAATGACAGCAAGTGGCTTCCGTAGTCTGTAGGGCTGAGGAAATCCCAAAACTTGTGGAATGTTCATAGGAAAAGCAATTGTTGATTGTTCAGCCAAGGGCAACCGCGAATATTATTCCTGCTCTCTGGAATTGGTGAGAACTCCCACTATTCCAAGAGATATAAGATACAATCAACTGTGTAAACTATGAATTCTTCGCCTCATCGTTCAGAGTAGAAGCAGGAGGTTGAGGATCTTCCACTGAGGCTTCCAATTGGTGAGATGTAACAGGTGTGTGTCATCATGACATTTCAACAGATTATCCCGGAGAGTGACCAGAGGAAGAACTGGTAACACGACTGCGGCCACTCAAGACATTCAGTTTCAAGCTCATGAATATCTGATACATACCACCTCCTGAGCTGGTAAAGGAATTAACTGTTACTGATAAACTGAAAAGAAGTGTAGGGAGAAAAGATGACCAAAATAGACCAGAATTGATAACTAACTAGTTAACTAGTTAACTATTGTTAACGTTAATCGCTTAGTCATAGTTAACTAACCTTGAATGGAACCAACCCAAACTCGCCCTCCAGGAAACCTCACAACCTACTTAATATCGGATCCTTAATATAGGACAAGATATTTCAAATGAACACTTTCATGATGACCACTCAAGCAACAGGGATGGTGAGAGGTTTCGGTCCTCACTGTATCGGTATCCAATCGACTGGACTTTGCCATATTAGAGCCCCATATGAAGCTGCCTTGCCTTTCAACCGTGGGGAATGTCGGGGTCAATGCCTATCCGTCCGAGCTGCCGTATTCGACACAGGAAGATGCTTCTTGAGTTGTCTTCATACCTCAGATAAGTAAAGGGAGGTTGATGAGTGTCGACAAAGTCAATATCGCGTATCAAAATTATGAGCACTTCTACTTTAACTTTAAAGGGAGGGACAAGAATTTATGTCCTGGAGAACTTGTATTTTGAGCAATTTAATGATACATGTATATTGTTCCTCAAATACATGAATCCCAGCTACCAAAGGTGCCTGCTGCTAATCAATTTAGTTGGTCCCCACAAATACTCCTTATCCGGATTCTCGACGATAGATATGTTTGTTTGCGAAGCTTGAGGGCGGGAGGAAAAAGACGTCCCCACCCAATTTCTAGACCAAAACACCACCCAGTGGACTTTCACTCAATGAAGTCCATACAAGCAAAATGCAGAGGGACGATCGTACGGTATGTGTAAATTGGATCGTGGCGAGAAAAGAGAAAGATCTTTACGTAGGATCATGCTGGTCATTCTAATCACCCTCACCTCACTACTCTAAATGAAGTGCCACTTTGATTCTGCGGAGACATTCTTGAAGCCGTTCCTCCTCGAGAGCAAAGGATATTCGTACCCATCCTTTTTCCATATCTGTGCCGTGATAACTTCCACCACCTCGAACCAACACCCCTGCGTTTTTCAGCCGAGAAATCATTTCTGATTCATCCTCCCACGTTTTTGCTCTTGGAGCCAGTCTTGCAAGTATGTTTAATCCTGCATTTATCGGGATGTATTCAATGTGGTGGCGGATGAAAAATGAGGTGATGAGGATATATGATTCTGCCAACCGAGCTGAGTTCAATGCGACCAAAAAGGGTAGTTTGGGTGAGGAAAGGAGTGTCGTTGTAAATATTGCGGATAACGATGACACCTGAGCATTGGATGCAACTGCCAGTCCAACGCTAAGATCTCTATTATCTTGTGTTACTATACAACCCTATTCTAGCATTAGCAACTATATTCAGAGACGTTGCTGGTGACTGGTCACATACCACTCGAAACCCACTCGCGCCAAAATCTTTGCTGATACTCCATATAGTGTGGATGCGAGACCGGTCGCACTGTAATAATTCAGTATCCAAAGCCAAGGCTGAGATGAATGGCTCGGGATCAAAATTATCCGCAATGGAAAATGAGGTCATCCCGTACCCTTCATCAGATATGAAGTGTAATCCCCGCTGCTGGCAAAATATTAAACAGGCTTCCAAGACCTCCAGTGGGTAGCATTGCCCGAAAAGGTTATGTGGATTTGTTATCATGAGTGCTTTTATTTTGCATGTGGCTTTATCCATCGCATCCTCTAATGCGGGTATCAGTTGCATTGTGAAATTGTTTGCGAATTTCCCCGCGTTGACAAGAACCGGTCGGACAGATGAACGAGCTCGGAATTTCGCCTCATCGCCGTCTATCCAAGTACTGCGATGTTAGCCCCCCGACCATCATAATATATACGACGATCTGATATTAAGCTTGGGGCTTGATGGGGGAAACTCACTCCAGTATGGTCCTGGCACTAACACACCGTCTTCAGGGTCGCAAATGTTATATAGCAACGCATCAAGGCAACTTTTTGCCCCTGGAGCTGTGACTATATGATGAGGCCTAACAGGTTCGTATGGATTAAAATAGTTGTTAAACAACTGAGCCAGGCTTTTCAGAAGTGTGGGTTCTCCGGCAAAGCCTTGTGAGCGGGAAAAGTGCTGATATTTTGATAATTAGCAAACCTCCTCCTCACCTTAGTCAGTTATAACAGAACGCTTACCTGGGAGTGCAATCCATCATTAACTGCTGCTTTACAGATATTGGCTAGCTCCTCTCGAAGAAGGCAATTTTCATCCGCGGAGAGGTCGATGTCGGAAGGGTCAGGACCGCTGCCGTCGATTATTTTTTTTCCTATTGAAGGTGTGATCGACGCGACATTGGATGAACCTCGGGCCGACAACTGCGAATCATTCATTTTGGTGACCTTTTTAACATGCGTACACGGAACAAATTCTGGAATTTTTCGACGAAGCTGAATTTTCCTTTCCTATCCTCCAGGGTAATGTTGGCTGTTTATATATTGAAATTTTTGCTCCAAGCATCAGCCCGAATCACCTGAGAGGCCCAACTGACGCTCCTAACCTTCTCCCGCTGCTTGCATTATAAAAACTTTGTTTATGTCTAATTCTGGAATTTCGACTTTTCTAACTTCTAGTTCAGAATTAGCACCCAAGTTTAGCCCGGATGATCTATTTCACGTTTAGCCCGTAAAGAGGTTGTAGCGCTGTCTGGCAGTTTAATTCTGCATTAATACGTCGGGCCCCATTGCATTTATCAATATCGGTTAACCTATTTCATACAAGGTACAGTACATTCATGGCTATAATGTATATACATCGATCATGTTTTTGTTCGTTAACGGTTTTAGAACTGCGGAATGATTTGACCGTCACATCTTCCTCCTCCGAAGGGTGTTATCAACCTTCTTCCTGGAAATTCGCGTCTTCGTTCGGAACGCCAACTAGTTTACGAAGTTTTTGAAACCGATTTCAATTTGCCCTAGTGTTTAGGTCCCGAAGGGTGGGAAAGGCTGAAATTGATCTCATCATCTGTGCCTTGTTCATGCAACTGGAGCTTCGCCCCAGATATCCCTCCCGTTGCTAATAATTGCATGGTACCAAAAACCTGCGGGTTCTCCGGCTTAGGAGCGCGGTTTGTTAAGTACGACTTGCCTATCCTGTCTAGACTCCAAATAATGAATCACCAGGCCCAACTGTTTGAGCCATGATATGTCCCATAGGG